GTACAGAGCAAGTTGAGGATATCACAGTATGAAAATGCACAGCATAACAGTTGTAAAACAGAAAAAGAAGCCCACCAGAAATAGTGTATTAAAGACACGTATTTACAGAGAAGTAGAGTGAGAGCATAGGGAGCATAATGGGATAAGATTGAAGATTAGTGTGTTAATGCCTGTACAATGCTTTGAAGATGTTAATTGCTAAGTATTATCATTCTTATTGAACAATAAAAATTAAAAGAGAAAACAAGGAAGAATTTTAAAAAGTACCAATTGTCCAGAGCAGTGGTTTTCAACCTGCGGTCCATAGACCCTGGGGGGGTCTACAGACTATAAGGCCTTGGCTACACTGGCGCTGTACAGCGCAGCAAGTACAGCGCTGTAAAGCGCCAGTGTAATCAGTGCCTGCAGCGCTGCACACTCGCTCGCAGCGCTGCAAGCTACTCCCCTCGGAGAGGTGGAGTACATACAGCGCTGCGAGAGCTCTCTGGCAGTGCTGGCGGCGCGACTACACTCGCGCTGTGAAGTCCCGAGTGTAGCCAAGGCCTATGTCTAAGGGGACCGTGAAAGGTGACTATGAAAATAAAGTTTCAGATCCAAGAAGAGGCATTCATTCCATTTTTCTGATGGATCAAAAGTACAGTATGTGAATTCTATGGTGGGAGTCTGCAGACCACAGGTTGAATTTCCACAGAGGTCTACCCCTCCATTCAGAAAGTTTTAGGGGTCTGCAAATGAAAAAAGGTTGAAAGCCACTGGTCCAGAGCAACAAATTGATGGGAAATCATCTATTGTTCTTTGAGATGGCATCTTCCTGCATGTGTGCACCTAGCACAATGGATCCTGACCCTGACTGTGGTCTTTGGCTACTACCACAATAAAATAAAATAATGATGATAATAATAATAGTACACTCTGAAATCACAGTGCACATACCCAGATCATAGACGCAATGCATGGGGTCAGTTAGAAGCCGAGCCCCTGTCAGTTTTCTCTCTCTGACTCAGGACATCATTCCTATTCAGAACAGCACATAAATATGTACTTAAGCATCTTCCTGCATAGGAATGGACTTAAGTGTTTCTTTAATCAGGATTTCTATGATCATAGTTAAGAGATCCTGACCTACAGCTTGCACTGACGAAAGGTGCCCAAAATATGATTATGGGTAGAGTAGGTAGACGAAGAGCCAGGTCTACAGCTTCTTTTTCTCCCTCTGAGTGACAGCAGAGAAGTTGTAGTCCAATAAAAATGCATAAATTCATTTTACATTTAATCTTACAATTACTTTTAAAATTACTATCTGCTCAAGAAAATAGTTTTCCAATGAAGTTGCATTCTGTTCACTTCTGCAAAGTTGTTCCTGCTTACACTGGAGCTGTATTTAGCTTGTTGTGTAAAACATTTTACTTGGTCTGTGTTAACTTTGCTGGACAATCTGTCATTTATTTATGTATTTAGTTTTGTTTTATTTTATTTTAGCAGTTGCAGCAGGGAACATTTAAGACTTTTGATCTTTAATTTTCATTGAAGTTCATTGTGTACCCAAATTTTAAAGTATCTTCGCAAGCAAGACCAATGTTTTCTATGAACCGAAAGACATGTTTATCCCTTACATTAATTGTTTATTTCTTCCAGATGCTTGTTGGAATCATGGCCTTTCTGAGCGGAATGCTAACATTAATGCTCCCAGAAACTCTTGGAAAACCATTGACTAATACTTTGGCGGAAGCTGCAGAACTGGGAACAAACAAGAACAGCTGTTTGGGAAAATCACCCCCAGCACAGACTGGTGCAGTGTTAGAAAAGATAGAGATGCATAGCCAAGAGTCACACAGCACTGATGAATAAAGCAACATCAAGATTACTGTCACCAGTTTTAATCCTCATTAATTCTATAAGACCATTTTATTAGAGCAACCTGACCATGTTATTAATGCACGCGTCTCTTAATTTGTATGCAATCTTGCCTTTTCTAAAGGGCAAATATTAAAAGGTCTGGTAGAAAATTTGAAAGGATTTTTAGAGCCATTCTCAAACTTAATCGTACTTTTAAAAATCTGGTTAATTTGCTTTGACTAGTAGGAGTGATTATTGTTCATTTGGAAGATACCAAGTTTTTCCAGATTCACATAATATTTCCTTTCACTGCTTTAGATTTTCTGTAGCTGTGCTGATAATCGCATCATGAAATCCCCTGTCAATAATTGCCATATTACAACTGACAGACACAGACTTGTGACTTATTAACATGGTAAACTCAAGCACACACTACTAATTCAACAGAAAAGGCTCTTAATTACTGTGAGAGGTTAAACAGAAATAAAGATTTCTGTTTTTCACACTTTCTTCTGAAGAGACTGCCATTGCTAAAAATAAAAATATTCTATGCAACAGCTTCTGACAAAAAAATCATTTTCAATTTGCAGAATGTGCAAATAGTATGAATACTATTCATTTTGTTTAATGTCAAATGTATTTTTTGTTATTGATTTAGAGAGAAAACTGCTTTGGGATTCTGTTGCAGTATCAGTAAAGTCTGTGTATACAGATAAAATCTGGTATTTTTGAAAACCGTATTCATTCCAGACTGTTACGTTAAATGGTCATTTCCAGATTCAGATCTATCATCAGTTTCTTTATATCATCCTAGGGTAAAACCAACCCCTGTGCAAAGCATCCACACAAGGCTTATGTGTCTTTTTAGTGCTCAAAATAGGATTTAAGTAGAACTTAAGTAGTGCATAGGCCTTGTGCAGGGCTGGGCACTTAAGCTCAGATCCTCAAAAGTATTTAGGTGCCAGATCCCAATAGGAGTTAGGTGCCTAAATACCTTTGAGGAGTTGGGCCTTAGTGAATAAGTGATATATAACTGCTAGCATCAAAATGTTATTTTTCTCATGGACCATCTATTTGTAGTTCCATTTATTCAACACTATACAGAACCAAATGCTAAAAAAATTGATTTTTGGTGGCAGAAACTTATCAACCATTAGAAATGGATGCAATAGTCACTAATTCCTGCAGAAGCCTGTGAAACATCCAGAGCTGGTGCTAGCCCATTGGGAATCCTAAGCAGAAATATTTTTGCTCCCCCCGCCCCAACACTAAGACAGCAAGTTCTTATAATAAAAAGTGAAGGAGGGCCCCCCTTGAGCTGCTTGGGGCCTATGCAATTGCTTAGTCTGCTTACGCCTAACGCCGGCTCTGAAAACATCCCCGTTATATCACTCATGCTGATACACGTGAGTGATGGAGACTGTAGAAAACACTAACAGGGATAGATTGAGGACATCATTTCACTCTAGGTGCTATTTTTATAATTTTCTATCCCAGCCCTCCCGTTTTAGTCTACCTCTAGAGCTAGCAATTTCTTCCATACCTGTGCAGCCTTCTGTATTGTGCATAAAAAGTGTACATGCTATGCAAATAATGGTTTGGACTCTGCTCATGATTACATCTGTACAACTCCTCTGACTTCAGTGAGTTCTGAAAGCAGAATGATTCAATATCTCTATGCCTCTCTAACAGGAAACAAAGCATCTCTCTTTAGTTACAGCACTGTCCTGGAGTTCAAAGTATAGAATCCTAGAAGATTAGGGTTGGAAGAGACCTCAGGAGTCCATCTAGTCCAAACCCCTGCTCAAAGCAGGACCAACACCCACCAAATCATCTCAGCCAGGGCTTTGTCAAGATGGGTCTTAAAAACTTCTAAGGATGGAGATTCCACCACCTCCCTAGGTAACCCATTCCAGTGCTTCACCACCCTCCTAGTGAAACAGTGTTTCCTAATATCCAACCTAGACCTCCCGCACTGCAATTTGAGACCATTGCTCCTTGTTCTGTCATCTGCCACCACTGAGATCAGCCGAGCTCCATCCTCTTTGGAACCCCCTTCAGGTAGTTGAAGGCTGCTATCAAATCCCCTCTCACTCTTCTCTTCTGCAGACTAAACAAGCTCAGTTCCCTCAGCCTTTCCCCTTTACGGGGTGTTTTATAGTGCAGGAGGGAAACAGCATAATATAATTCTAACAGGGAAGTAAATTGATATTTTCTGATATTACAGCTGCCAGTGCCACTGTTAATTAAAAGTTTAGGTTGTTACACGTTGCCAAATGCTGTCTTGGAATACATGGTCCACTGTATAATGACATCTTGAGGACTAAGAGTACTAAAGCTACTCCTTAATCCTGACCATATATGGAGCATTACAATATACTTCTAACAAGCTATTAGAACAAAACTAAAGTTAATTCCAGGACTAAGGTGACTACACGAAAAATCAATTTAGGTCTGCACCAATCAAAGTCAGTGAATGGCATAAGTTCTATTGACTTAAGTGATTCAGGACCAGACCCTTGTTCAAAATCTGTAAAATAAAGAAGGAAATTAAACACAGTACTTAAATACCCAAAATAGTTTAAACATTTCCATTGCTATTACTGGAAAGCTGGGTAAATCATTAGGGGCTGCAATTTTAATGCTAATTGCAACAGAAAATTCAGCCTGGTGTCAAAGTACTGGTACTAGTATCAAGATGGGAAGGTCAGAACTTTAGTAAGGAGCATAGACAACAGAATGATAGTTCTAGATATATTTTTAGGTAAGAAATTTAAGCATTTCGTGGATGTAAATACACCAAAACAACCTCAGAAAAATGCAGGGACTCAATCAACCTAGGAGATGAGCATGAGCAACTTCCATTGAAATCAATAGGAGTTGTGCATGGACATCTCCCATGGATGATGGGACCCCAGAACTTGTCTTTAAAAGAGCTGTAGGAATTTCCTGTTGTTCCCTGTGTCTTTGGCTGCAACTCTCATCTTCCTATCTTGACAGGCTGACAGCGTGGTTGCTTCCTGCTTCACTATTTCATATTTAAATTATGTACAAGGTCCAATACACTTTAACAAAGTAATCAATTATTAGTGATTTTGAGCCAATTCCTGGTTGCATTGAAGTCAATGGGAGTTTTGTCTTTGATTCTAACTGAACCAGAATTTTGCCCCAAAGGCCTGAGGAACCATGTTGAGATGAAGACCAGAGGATTAGTTATTGAATGGAGAAGAGTTGGCTTTCTAAAATAAATCATACACCTTGAGACTTGGGGTGCAATTGGGTACTCTTTTCTTTCAATTGAAGAAAAACGGCAATTGTTTTTTCAAATAGGGAAACCACAGCTGTTTATGTACCTCCCTGTTTGTAGCATTTCCAAAAGTTTTTGTGTTTAGCAAGGATGGTACTACTGACAAAAGTATGTTTGACACTAGTATTACATTATAAATATTACATAGCATAAATGTGGAGAGAGAGTTTCTCAAACATTTTTTCAAAGGATCTGGACCTTCTTAAAGAGAGCCTTGATTTTGAGAATAATAATTTCTAATTCTTTGGGGGCATATTTTCTTCTCAATGCTCATGAGAAAAATCCCATTAACGGTGTCTCTTATTTTCTCCTTAACCTCGATAGTGGGTCAATAATATCTTACTAATTAATGGTTCTGACTGTTCCTAATGATTTATAATCTATTTCCTTTTAATTGTGGTTCATCATGATTGTCGGTCATTTTGGCTGTAAGATGTTTACATCCTAAAAATGATATCACATTGTATCATATAACAGTGAGGGTTATCAGACTAATACTTCCTGGGTGAGTGAGTGCAATGATTAACATTTGTTGAATTCTAACTGAAGAAAAATAATAAGGTAATATGCTTGATATTTTAAATCAAATGCATTTTTAAACTAAGCTTTAAGATGTATTTTCTCATTTAATGTCTGACTTTAATGCCTTTTTATACATTTTGGTAGTTTAAATCAACTATGGGAAAAATAGCTGTGCAAACTACGTACACTGTGGGCTAAGTCCAGTGGGCTGTGCACTGAACGTGTCAATAGCAGATGGAATCCCCCCTCTACGTGGTTGTGTAGCTGGTTCACAGAGACTGAAGAAGGCCCACATTCCCAACTCTGGGGCGAGTGGGACTAGAGGATTCTCTGGCCTTGCCCTGCTGCTTCCTCAGTTTATGCCCACTCATCCCCTGTATTCTGTCATGCAGGGACCCTCCACAGGGTTTGGCTCTGCACCATCTTGGGGCTATTCACCCATTTTTATGGCCTTCCAAAATCCAGCCTCACCTTGTACAGCAGATCTATACTGCTAGAGGCCTCTGTGGGTACTGGATTTGTCCTATGTATGTGTCAAATGTACTTCTAAGATACTTGCCTAGATCTCATAACAAGTATAAAGGATAGAAAAGATTAAAAGACTAGTTATGAATTTAAACAATAACAAGGTTATCTGTGATATCAAGAGAAATTCCTGTTGTACGCAATAAAACAACACCCATATTGTTGAATCACTCATGAAAAAAGGTTAAGGGAAATCCATATATGGTAGTTATTCTTGCAGTTGGTTTGTGATGCCAATTCTATATACCAGGCATTTTGATAATAGGTGAGGGACATATATACTGTTCTAACTGACCTTGTCTACTGTGTTAAATGCAGCATACATGAATTTAATACAGTATGCATTATTAGGGCAATAGAATTTTATTTCTCCATGTATGTATTTATCATCTCAAAGTATGTAGAACAATAAAGTGGAATATGCATTTAATCTTTACCACCATGGCTTCAGAGGCAGTCGTGCACTTTTATTTTTCCCTTATATAGTCATTCATATGCACTGGTGTTATAAACTCATTCTGAGGAACTATATTAACATCTGGAAGGTCTATAGAATGATTTCCTTCAGGGACACTGTACTGTATTACGGTTTTTGCATGCTTTGGGTTGACAATTACCACTTGTGTCTCTCTTTGTCATTTGTGTTTGCTGTTAGAAGGCAATGTCAGCTGGGAGCTATACAATATAATAAGATCCAGAATTGTCACTTTGTATCACTCTGAAGCCTATTATGTCTGTAGAGTCCTAAACCATTGTGATATCAGAGGTACCACAACCAATCCCCACTCTTACTCTTCAGCTATTTTGCATGTAACTGTTTCTTTGGTTTTAGGAGGGAGACTGCACAGATGGTCGATTGGTTGGTCCAACTGCCACACCCGTCCATGGCCCCACAAAGTCACGAGACCTCCTCGTCAATCTCCTCCTGGCTCTGGCCAAAGATACCATCTATAATACCAGGAGGAGGATGTTAGACGAGGGGGTGCTCTGCGACTGTGGGGCCTATTTCCGTACCTCCCCGGTCTCACGCCTCCGGGCAGAGTTCCACTGGGCAGCGTCTGCTGGCTCCCTTGCCACCTTTGAGGAGCAGTGGGCGCTGTCCGGAGTTCTCTGCTCGGTGTCCCCGTCCGGCACCCTTATTTTGAACCTTTGACCATCACTCCTCTCCCTGTTTTCTCATTAGTTGTCCCAAGAGATTGGTTG